AATTTTATCAACAGTAACAGTAGATTTTTGTTGAATTTAAAAAAAAATCTTTTTAAAATTGTCCTAATGATAGAGCAGTTTGGGAGCAGAACCAAAGCCTGGAGAGGTGGTGGGCTCCCTTTGCATTCAAGTAGCGGGTTGTTACCCATCTCACAGGGATGTTTTAATTTGGATTCTTGCCTTGATCACTCAAGGACTTCAGTGCTCCCTTCCAGCTGAAGGATTCTCTAATTGCTTGCCTTAATTTGGGGAGGGGGTAATCTTCTGGTAGTCATGCTTCAACAGTTTGTCGGAGGGCACAGATTAGTTGGGACTGCCTCATGCGTGTGAAGTGGAGGTCAGTTTATGTTTGGGAGTATTGTTTGTTTTTTAACTGGGGTACGCCTATTGTTAGCTTACTGTTAACTGGGACTTGCACTGTTCTTACATTACTGTTTTCTGGTTCAAACCTGCAGGAAACTGTATGGTCAGTTTTCAGCAATTATGAGGGTGTAAGGTATTCTGAGATCTGTAGAAAGGGGATTTCAGAGCCTGCAGTAGACATAGGCATGGATAATCTGTGGTCAAGTAGACATCAGTTCTCTTGACATCAGTAAGACATGATTCCAGATGTGAGCAATCTTCTACTTTCCAGTGGTATCTAGAACCTGAACTAGGGTTTAAATCTTTTGTGTGAGCTCTCAGTTCTCATGTTCCCTAACCCCTCACTTCAAGGGAAGTAGCAGAGTTTAATGTATCAGGACTGCCAGTCTGCTGTTAGAATTCTGATGTCTTGAAATGGTTAGTTGTTCTGAGACTTTGACATAATGACTTGCAAATGAGAAGTGCACTGAGTCCATGGAAACTGATGCTGGATAGCAGTCCTTGCTGATAGGCTGTCCTGAAACTAAATGTAACTGTTTTTTTTTTCCTGCTGAGTTCTAGCATTGGAAGAACTGTAGAATAGACAAGGTTGAATAGATGTACAATTTTCCTGTTAGTGTATATAGAGATCATCTTAGAGTGAAAGATAGGAAAAAGTGGGATGTTAGCGATCAGATTTGGAGAGATTAAAGCTGTTTTCCTTTTGGTGGGGGAAAGAGTGGGTGGGGGAAGATGATTGAAGACATCCCCATGGCCCAAGAAAGCCCAGTTGAACAACTTTGTCCAGTCTTTGCCTCTGGAAGGTCTTTCAGTGAAACAATGGGAGGACGGCTTAATGTTGGAGGAGGAGGAGGAGGAGGAAGGGACTGCTGGGCAAGGTGTAGCTCTTTCTTCAGGACTACTGGATCGCACTGGTCAGGCTGATGGGAGCTGATGGCAGTTGGCCTTCCGTGGCACCCTTGCCGACCTCTGCTGTGAGGTCTTGGAATACTCGTGCTTCTCGATTCAGAGTATATTTTCCAGCTATGCTAAGGTGTCTTGTGACCCAGTACATGAGAGTGGAATTCATTCATTAAAAAGTTCCATGGCTTTTTTAGTTTTTTTAGAATGAGAAGGGATCACAGATGGCTTTTCAACTTCTGGATGAAAGATTCCAAAGCAATTTCAGCAGTTAATGTTAACATTGTTAAATTTTGCATAATAGGATAATTGGATTTTCTACCTTTTTGTTGAGAGTTGTGAGAAAATTGATAGCTTTTCTGAGCAGTTTGCCCCCAGGGGGAGACTGAAAATATTTTGTGCCATCATGCAGCTTTTTGGCTGCCACTGGATCACCTGAGTGGCATTTGAAGTTATATATTCCAAGGAACTGCACAAGCTCCGCCTGTGCCTTTACTTCTCTTTTGCTATTAATTCACATTTGCTCTGGTACTTCATTGCTGATGGACAAACTGAATGAGCCAGCGGGGTTGTTTAATGGGTACAAGACACCCACCCTCTCCCCGCATATCCTGAAAAAGAGAGCCCTGTCATGCTTAACCAGATTCCCCAGTTTCAGTCTGACATTGGGCTATTCTCTTAGGGAGGGCATGGGGCTTGATGGCCCTAGTTGAGTCCTGTTCCAAATACCATTCTTGCTCTGCAGGTGGCTTAGAAATAACAAATTGCTCTGAGGTTGCACAGAAAGGATGAACTTTCCTCCATTCCATGGCTGGTGTGGGTCTTCCGGGCTGTGTGGCCGTGTTCTTGAAGTTTTGTTTCCTAACGTTTCGCCAGCACCTGTGACCGGCATCTTCAGAGTGCAGGAGCACAGACAGGAGCAGTTCTCTCTGTGCCCAGGGTGATGTGACCCTTTTGTGGGTATTTATAGAGATCGGGGGGGGGGGAGGGGGGGATTGGGGGGGTGTGTGGGGGGGTTGAGTTACTGATTGGCTGCTTGTTTTGGTGTCAGCATCTGTGTGTATCTTCCTGGGGTTTAGGCAGGGTTTTTTCTTCTATTGTTTTCTGATTGGCTGCTTGTTTTGGTGTCAGCATCTGTGTGTATCTTCCTGGGGTTTAGGCAGGGTTTTTTCTTCTATTGTTTTCTGATTGGCTGCTTGTTTTGGTGTCAGCATCTGTGTGTATCTTCCTGGGGTTTAGGCAGGGTTTTTTCTTCTATTGTTTTTTAGGAAACAAAACTTCAAGAACACGGCCACACAGCCCGGAAGACCCACACCAGCCATCGTATGCCAGCCGTGAGAGCCTTCAACAATACATTTCCTCCATTCCCTTTGGTAATTTTGTGTAATGACAGAATGGCTTCTATTTTTCATCCTTGTCCTGCCTTGAATAACTAAGGCACATCTATGTGGGAGTTAGTTTAGACTAACTGAATTGTGAAAATTTAAGGCCCACTTTTCTAGTTGTTGTTTTAGTTCACAGAAATCAGTATGTATGTGTGCCAGGGATCATCTTGAGATAGTGGACTTAGCTGTCTTGTCTGCCTAGTTTCAGTAGACATGGGGAGAATTCTTTATAACAGGGAGATCTGGCCCAGATATTTTAGATGACTAGCCTGATGTGGGGCAATATATTTCCAAATGTCAGCCATCTTCTTGATGTGGGAAAAATGCTCATGCTTAAGAAGAACCAGACCATTTGAGGATTTCTGCAGCAGTGTTACTTCATTGGCCTACAGTGATCATTGGGCTCCCAGCCAAAGAATCCAAGAGCCTTGGGCATTCAAAGAAATAAAGACTATATAGGAAGGGGGAGAATGTCAAAAGGTGTCACAGAGATGTCTTGAATAATTAATCTGTGACCCAGAAATGGAAAGGCAACAGTTAGATAACAAGGGTAGTTGTTCCTTGGCCTTGCCAAATTGACGCCTTTATCCTTTGCATCTCTGTAGAAGATTCCTGACACCCACAGTCTACGTATCAACCAAACAATTGATACGTAACAACTGATAAACAATCAGAGTTAGCTGTCCCCTTACTACAGTGAGGAGATGACCACCTTCTCTCTGACCCCAGGAAAAGCCAAGTCTGGGTTCTGTTGTTGTCTGCTAAGCCGTTCACGCATCAGGGTCATAGGCTCATTGGGGCCCCACGGACACCCATCTCTCCTCTGCAGGACTGTGTAATCAGATTGCTGGCCCAAAGGTTATGTAGAGACACAAATGAAACACTGTTTAGGTTCACAGATACATATCCTCTTACCATGAATACTCTTTTGTCATGGCTTGCTCTGTCATCCCCGCAGGCTTGGCTTTTGATTAGGACAGGTTTTCCATTTCGTCATTGGTCTCGGTATGGAAGAAAGTCTGTGAACGGTAATGTGTTGATCTTCCCCATCAACCTTTTTGAGCCCCGTGCTGGCTAGCTGGTCGATTTTCACTTCCCTCAGAATGGCTCCTCATTTTTCAGATGTTTGGAAGACTTTGACAGTTTACATGGAGTGAACCTAACCATTTGGGAAAAGGCAGCAAGCAGCTGCTTATCTGCTATGGTTGTCCAAAGAATGCACCCTCTGTTTCTTGTTGGGCAACAGCAGCCATGCATTTGGCACCTCTGTGAACATTTTCAGCTCAGGTGTTGGCAGCCTTGACTGCAGCTTTGCAAGACATATTTCACTTTCTGACTTAAGCTGTGCAGTGTTCTGGTCTCAGATGTTGAGCTTCGTTTGGCACTAGTAACTCAGTCCCTAGGCCAGATCTGATGCTCTGATTAGCTTAATAAAATGTCCTTGGTGCTACATTGATAGGCCTATCTAACTTCTTATAATGTAACTTGCGTTATCCATGCATATGATGCACAGGAGCTGTGTGGGTTTTTCTGAATACTTTTGTGCATTCTCACAGTCCTTCTGCCTATTCCACCCAAGTACTTAGGTCTGTAACTGAGTGTTTATAGAAGCATCAAAGAATTGAGACAAATCCTTGTAAGTCCTTCAGGCAAGCACAGTGGGAGGCAGCTTTCCTGGCCAGCTCAAATAGTTCAGCTCTATAATCTTCTAGTGGTGTCTGCAAAGGAGCAGAAAACCTGTGCACGTCAGCACATACATGTCCATCTGAGGACCAGTTACAGAGAAGCAACCTGCTTCTCTTATTAGGAAGCAGCTTCCCAGCAGAAAGAGCAGACTGAGAGCAGAACCAGTGACCCAGGAGATGGAGGGCTGCCCTTCATTGGAGGTGCTCCAGCAGAAGCCAGGCAGCCCTCGGTCCGGGATGCTGACAGTTTGGGTCCTTGGACTGAGCAGGGAATTGGACTCCGCAGCCTCAGTGTCTCCTTCCAGTTCTGTGATTCTTAATAAGCCTGTTGGTTTTGCAGAATTACTGCACTGCATCATGTCACTGCTTTCAGAATTCAACTCTGGTCTTCCGATATCTCCTGGCTTCAGAGAAACTACGCTTATTCTTAAGGTTCACAATGGAAATGAAAGAATCACCCAAGGCTGCTGATATTTTTTTTTGCCTGGCTTGAAACTGTTTCCCAAAGGTTAGCCATGATTTCCTTGTGGCTGAAAATTCAGTTTCTTCCCTTGGATGCCTTATGGTGATTATCAGAGATGCTGTAGGAGCTTCTGTGAAGAGCTACCGCCAGCCATATTTACTTCGCAGACCTCCCTGTAATCTTTCCTTTCTCTTCTCTCATCAGATGAATTTGATGCTTATATCATTGTGTCCTTCGTCAATGCCACCCTGGTTCTGTCTATCGGAGAAACCGTGGAGGAAGTGACTGACTCGGGATTTCTTGGAACCACACCCACCTTGTCCTGCTCATTGCTGGGAGATGATGCCTTGGTACAGGTAAGGCCACTCTGTTTCCTTGAAGGCTGTTGTGCTTAACAGCCCACGTGCTGTTTTATTTTGTCCATCGAATAAAGCTCTTCACCATGAGAGAGGGCTTGACTTTGAGGCTTGATTCTTTGGCTTCTTCTTTTTTTACATCCTGCCCTCTTCTGCCAGGCTGTTCTTACTAAGGTAAGAGCAGTCTGCTCTTCTGATTGGCTTGATGGAAATACTGCTTCGAAGCGGGTGAGTTTTAGGGATTGGCTGGGTCACTAACAGGGGCTGCCTTGCAACCAGGGAAGAAAATAGAGTTGTGTTGGTATGATCAGTATAAATCAGTTTGAGGTGGCTGGCAGAGCACAGTTATTCTGCTTGTGAGCTGTTCTTATGATTTGAAATTGTGGGATAATACGGATTTCTGAGGATGTGCAAAACTTACCATCCCAGGGAACTCACCCTGAACTGCTCCCTCTTCCGAAAGATTCGCTTCTAGAAAAGAACCAGCCATCCCTGGAATGACCAGATTGGCGTGGTTCAGAAAAATATTGCCCCCTTATTGGTAAGTTTTGCACATCTTCATTAGTGACTCCTTGCTCACAGATGCTTCTGAAGATTTCCTTAATGCCATGCTGTTTTGATTATACCCCTATTATTTTTAAAAAACCTCAAAGACTAAATATTCAGATTTGTGTCCATGTGTTTCTTTTTTAAAGCAACCCGTGAACTCTTAGTATTTTGCGAGTTGCTGGTTACTGAATTTGTCCATCCTTTTAGACTGGTTGAAATGGAAAGCTTAATGATCGCAAATTAATTACAAGAGAATTACCAAGTTCTTTGCTAACCAGTAAGAGTTAGAGCCTTGATAGGAGCTTGTGGTAAGCAAGCAGTGACTGATGAAGCCTTTTCCAGTTGTGCAACATTTTTTGCTTCTTAGTTCTTTTGTATGCTCCATGACTAATAAAAATATATCAGGCAATTACTAAAATATAAAATGGTGGGCTAAGAAAAAGAATAGCAAAGGAACTGGTTACTATAATAGCCTAACACCTCATAATTGTATCTTTTCAGGTTTATCCTGATGGTATCAGGCACATCCGAGCAGATAAACGAGTTAATGAATGGAAAACACCGGGGAAAAAAACCATTGTCAAGTGCGCGGTGAATCAGAGACAAGTGGTGATCGCGTTGACTGGAGGAGAATTGGTTTACTTTGAGATGGATCCAGTACGTGAGCTGTCTGGCATAAAAAGTAGATGTGGACTGGGGTTGTAGATGAAGATGAAAGCTAAACCCGATGTTAGTGTAGCTGAGTGTTGATTTGGGATTTTGGACAGGGTAACCTTGATGGATGAACATGGAGTACAGTCTACTCAGAAGCATTTCTGATAGCAAAGAACAGCAGCTGCAGCAAAGGGTGATGATCTGCTTTCAGTCATGACCAGGGTTTTTTTTGTTGTTAGTTGTTGGGAGGAGCACAGCAGAGATGATCCTCTTTGAAAAATCATGTACTTCCTAAGATGGTCATTGGCTTTTTGGAAAAGCTTTTGCTTTTGGTCTTTCTTAAAGTTGCCTGAAGACCGGTTTCTTAAACAGGATTGCTTGAAATTAATGGGTTGTCCTGGTCAGGTTATTGGCTGACCTGCCTCTTCCCTTCTCTTTGCACACTAGTCAGGACAACTGAATGAATACACAGAGAGGAAGGAGATGTCAGCTGATGTTGTATGCATGAGTTTGGCAAACGTTCCTCCTGGAGAGCAGCGCTCCCGTTTCCTTGCTGTTGGGCTGGTAGACAACACTGTGCGGATCATTTCGCTTGATCCCTCGGTAAGTGCCTGACTGGAAGTATTTGTCTATGTTGCTCGACTTTGACTGATTTATTGCTATAAGAAGGGGGGTGCCATTTCTCTTGCAAGATTTCTCGTCTTGCGGATGAGAATATATTAAATATGAGGCCTGTTGATGGGGAGAGCTTAAAAACGAGGAGCATCTTGGAAACGCTGCATGAAGTATCCACAAGAGCTGCAGTCCCCCCAAATTTCTTTCAGTTTTAACCAATTTTAACTAAATGGCTAGCATGCTGTTTTTCCTCCCAACTCAAATTGCAGCCTCTGCTTCTGGGCACTCTGGAAGAAAGACAGGTTTCTAGCCATTATTAAAGGTTCTGAAACATTAGTAAAAGAATGTTGCTTACGCAGTAGAATCCAAGACAAAAAAGAATTACTTAAAGCCAGTGCTTTTTTAGTAGAAAATAGTTACCTTTCCTCTTGCTCTCCAGATGGCTCTGAGACGTGTTTATGTAGCAGCAGGAATCCTCTGTCGTGAGAGATTGGCTCTTCTTCCATGCTCCTGAGTAACGTATGTTCTTCGTTCTCCCCCAGGACTGTCTGCAGCCTCTGAGCATGCAGGCTCTCCCTGCGCAGCCAGAGTCCTTGTGCATCGTGGAAATGGGGGGAGCCGAGAAGCAAGATGAGCTGGGAGAACGGAGCTCCATTGGGTTTTTGTACCTGAACATTGGCTTGCAGGTGAGGCAGTGTTCCTCGAGGGAGCTTTTCCCTGCTCAGTGGAAAAATGTTGCTGCCTTTGATTGGGCTTCCAAGCTCCAGTGGTTGCCCTCGCCTCAGTCAAACAGGGTAGCCCATTCTCTTGTTTGCTGTAGCAAATATTCCACGCCTACAGGCAGTCAGTTGAGAAGAGAAAACTCTGTCAATAAATTTTTCTTCTTTTTTTCTCCTCTCCACCCCCGTCACATTGCCAGATTTTTTTTATGGCAAGTACTTTTATAATCAAACAAAATAGGAAAAATGCCAAGAAAAGTCATATTCAGGCAATAGAGGTCCAACAGGTAAGAAGTTTTAAAAAAATGAGAGGATGGAAACTTTAACTAGCATGCAGGTAGCTTCTTGTGAAACCTGCATGTCATCATCCAGGACCTGAGCAGCCTGTAAGAAGGTTTTGCTGACTGAACATTGACAAGTGGCCTTCACTTTAAGCCTGCTTTCCAAACCTGCCCAGCGCAACCACTAAGTGACCAGCGCTCTGCGTTAGTCAGCCTTGTTCTGGGTGGGTATGATCCTGGGGCTCTGGCTTTCTCCCCCCCCCCCCCC